TTACCCTGAATTAACACTTGCTTGTAGAACGTGAAACTGATTGTGATTCAATTCCATTTAGAAAGGTTAATTGAACCCAAGCTTGCCTTACAAGAAAAACACTCTGCTTTTGAAAAACGGGCATTCTTGCACTCTACTGTGTTTCCTATAGGGCCAGTACAGTAAGCTATCTCAGAACAAAAGAACTGTGCTTACTACACAAACGGGGCATATCTAATTCAGCTCAGTATTCGAAACTAAGTAAAGCAGGAGCTTCTGTTCAGTCCAAAACACTGTACATGCTGGGAACACCCGCGAATGCTATTTGCACTGTGTATGGCCTAAATAGCACACGAGTTGTATTCTTACCCTGAATTAACACTTGCTGCTAGAATTTGAAACTGAATGTGATTCAACTCCGTTTGGAAGGTTAATTGAACACTAGTTTGACTTACAAGAAAAACACTCTGCTTTTGAGAAATGGGCATTCTTGCACTCTCCTGTGTTTCCTATAAGACCAGTAGAGTGAGCTAGCTCAGAAGAAAAGAACATTGCTTCCCTCAAAAACGGGGCATATCTAGTTCAACTCAGTATTGGAAAATAAGTAAAACAGGAGCTTCTATTCAGTCCAATACACTGCACTTGAGGGGAACGTACGCGAATAATATTTGAATATTGTGTATTGCCAGAATAGCACAAAAGTGGTGTTCTTACCCTGAATTAACACTTGCTGCTAGAATTTGAAACTGAATGTGATTTAACTCCGTTTAGAAAGGTTAAGTGAACCCGAGCTTGCCTTTCAAGAAAAATGCTCTGCTTTTGAAAAACGGGCACTCTTGCTTTCTAATGTGTTTCCTATAGGGCCAGTACAGTGAGCTAGCTCAGAACAATAGAACTGTGCTTCTTACACAAACAGGGCATATCGTGTTCAACTCAGTGTTGGAAACTAAGTAAAACATGAGCATCTCTTCAGTGAATACACTGTACTTGCTGGGAAGAGACAGGAATGCTACTTGTACTGTGTATGGACAGAATAGCACAAGAGTGGTGTTCTTACCCTGAATTAACTCTTGCAGCTAGTACTGAAACTAAATGTGATTCAACTCTTTTTAGGAAGTTTAATTGATCTCTAGTTTGACATAAAAAAAACCCCACTCTGCTTTTGAGAAACGGGCATTCTTGCACTCTGTTGTGTTTCCTATATGGCAAGTAGAGTAAGCTAGCTCAGAACAAAGAACTGTGCTTACTACACAAACGGGGCATATCTAGTTCAACTCAGTATTGGTAACTAAGTAAAGCAGGAGCTTCTCTTCACTCCAATACACTGTACTTGCTGGGAACAGCCGAGAATGCTATTTGTACTGTGTATGGCCAGAAGAGCACAAGCATGGTGTTCTTACCCTGTATTAACACTTGGTGCTAGACCTTGAAACTGAATGTGATTCAAGTCCGTTTAGGAAGTTGTATTAAACCCCAGTCGGCCTTACAAGAAAAACACTCTGCTTTTGAGAAACAGGCACTCTTGCACTCCACTGTGTTTCCTATAG